TCCCGAGTCAAAAAATTGGGACTCATTTTGTCCTCATTTGATCTCAATAGAATTTTTAGGGATATTTCAAACTACAAGACTCAAAAGTCTCATTTTATCCGCGGTTTTCCCGTATCAGGACAAAATGAGACTTTTGAGGAGTAAAGATTATTTAGGAAACCTCATTTTGTCTTCAAAAAGTCTCATTCTTTTCTTGTTGAGGTTAAATTGAGGACTATTGCCATAGGATTGCAGACATTGAGAATAAAATGAGACTTTTTAGAATCCAATGTGATGAGTCTTATGAAAACTTATTGAGGTATCTGAGATTAAAAACGTCTAAATGAGGAAAAAATGAGTCTAAATAGTTCATTTGAGGATAAAATGAGTCCCAATTTTTCGACTCGGGTAATACATTAAAAAACGCAAACGTGGATCACTTAGGTTGGGACACCAACAAGTACTTCTAAAAGAATTTTTCACAATCTTATGTCTTCAATTCATCCGTCTGATCTGTCTTTCCTCAATCACTACTCACACATTCCCACAATTCGTACAAGGAGGCTGAATCGGACTTTCCGTTTGGACAGTCGTGTAGACCAAACGGACTACCTGACGACCAGAGATGTGATTTATTCGAAATACTTGCATTTAAAATGCCTATTTCTATCTTGCATTTAAATCCTTTTTTGAGAAAAGTATTTTGTATTTTATTTAAAATACTTTTCCAATACACTTTTGCAGTTAAAAGTTTTGCTGATATCACCGAACAAACACTATATAAAATGAAAAATGAAAGTTTCTCACATTGGCAATTGAAGGTTTTAGAAGCTTAAAAGGGCATAAAATGAGATTCCATGAATTTCAATTCTTTAACTGAAGAGATCTCAAAAAATTCTAGACTCCTTGGAAATGGATAATCTAAAATATTGGATCGATGTTGTTTATCGGGCTTAATGTCAAGGTCCATGGAATTTTGAAGTTCCAAATTGAAATCACCACTTACCGTACCTTTAGCAAGAATGTACGAAAATATGAATTCCAAATTATAAAATAACAGCCCGCAAAACATTATCGAGTTGATATACGCCAGCTGCGTAAAACTGAAAACTCAGAACAAACTAAAATAATTCGAAGTGGTCTATATTCTGTCGAAACTGCCAGACGCGGATCGCGATTTCGATCTTCTTGGATCTCATCAGCGCGTCGCAGGCAGCTCCGACAGAACACAGATCAACTTTTACCTGCTGTCTTAACAGTGCGTTTTAGAAAATACTACAAATTTGTAGTATTTTCAGAACAAACTTATAGAAAATTATACAATGTATCTACTCAAAAAATGGATTTAATATTTATTAATCTACCACCTAGATACAGAAATTATCCATTTCCTGACTGCGGCGGAAAAGAATAGGTTAGAAGCTTTCAAAATGTGGTGTTACAGGCGAATGATGAGGATACTGAGGATAGAGAAGGTTAGAAATGAAGAGATATTAGAAAAAATAGGAGAACAGAAGACTCTATGGAAGTTAATATAATACAATAAATAGGCGAGATAGGTTGGTAAGACATCTGCTAAGGCATGAAGGTCAATTCAAAGACATATTAGAGGCAGAAACGGGAGTTAGGAGGGGTAGAGGTAGACCAAGATTAGATTACAGTTCGCAAACAGTTAAGGATGTGGGTTGTCCTAGTTTTAGGGAAATGCGAAGATTAACTCAGGATAGGAAAGAGTGGAGCTGCGTGTCCAACCAGTCTTAGGACTGATGATCTTATGACGATGAAACTAGAATAAAGGAGATAATCAGCAGTAAATTTTAAATCGTTAATTACATATACAAATATGTATGTCTAATGTAATTAAATTTAACGACAAAATTTAGTAATTAGTCGACATGTCAAAAACTCAGTAAGAATCATATAAAGGGTACCCGCAAACGAGATTCACGCTTTAAATAACGACTTTCATTCGTTGGAATTTTTATTGCGGTTTTAATGACAAAAATTTTCTTAATTAATTTGTTGTTAGAGGGAAATCCCATTAATTTATTTTGTTTTCAAGAAAACTGCTTGTTCTTTAGCCGATGAATTATTGCATTGCTAATAGTGAAAATTGTA